TCCTAAGAAAATATCTATCGCAGTATATGGTTAATTGATTGTATAACAAAATATAATTCCAACGATTGAAAACATTTTTTGCCATGATATTTAAATTGGAAATGAAAAAATTACATTCGTGACCTCTAAATATCAATATTAAGAACTCTAATTTTGATAAGATTTTAATTTTTGCATGATCTTATGAAATTTATGATTATTTAAAAAATATAGTTATCGGTAAATATTTATCGGTTTTTTTATACATCCTAATGATCATACTAGACATTTCGATATAATTTTATAAATTTGTGCATAATTAGATCCTGCTTATTCGATATTGCTCCGCAAAATGCTTTGCAAAACTTAAGTTCTCCCCAAAAAAAATTTTTAAGTGATAGTCGAGAAATTCGTAAAGGCAGTCAGTTGTTAACAATTTCAAGAAATGTACAAGAGGTACAAAGTACATCAACTGTTGACCTAGTAAATTACTTGAATATTGTTCAGGTGGGAAGTTCAGAATCAAATTCAGACGCCATTGAAGCTGATATAGCAGGTATTTTAGATATTTACTACTCAATTTTAATTTTTTTCTAATGTTTTCTCTTCTCATGAAATTTTATACACTTTTCATATAATTTCTTTTTTTACGTGTATTGCTTTTGAAACTCTATTATTATAACAAAAATTTTTCTCACACTATATTTTCGGTGCTGATTTCAATCATTTAATAATTAATGCTTATCTGATCAGCAATAGTAGATAAGCAAGGCCGGTTTGAACCCCTGATAAAGTAGATCTCTGCAGTACCGACCTTGGGTTTCTGCCTTATCGGCAGTCGTTGGTGGAGTTTCTGCGATATCGATGGTTGGTTTTTGTGCTCTACTTACCAACTGTTGTTGGGGATTATCATCGATTTGTTGGTCGATTTTTTTACCGACTGTTGGGTGATTATCATCGATTTGGTGATCGATATTTACTGACTGTTGGGAAGATTATCATCGATTTGATGATCGATATTTACCGACTGTTGGGGGTGATTATCATCGATTTGGTGATTGATATTTACCGACTGTTGGGGGATTGTCATTAATTTGTTGGTCGATTGTTTGAGGTCAAAATGCTACCACCCCAACAGCAGAGCTGATACCTTTACCGTGTATCAGCTTTGGTGTTGATGTGATATGCACTTACTTGATGTGATGATGAATTTTGTATATATTCAAATGACTTGTAGTATAAGTATATGCGAGAAAGTTCGATACTAACGCCGCTCTGGTGGGATGAAATGTAGGTATTGAAGTCTGTTTATCGATTTGTGGTAAGTTTTATCGACAGTCTGATGTCAACTAGTGATCTATGTTATCGACAGTCGGTATTATACTGAGTGACGTTCTGTTTTATCGATAAGGGGTAAGATTTTTTTGAATTTTAACGTTTTTTTAGCCCCCTACTCTCTCGATTACATCATGTTTTTACGCCATCCGACAAGTTTAAACCTGTTTTTTAGCGTCGTCATCGTGAATTTTAACGTTTTTTACTCCCTCTTCTCTCGATTACGCCATGTTTTTACGTCATCCGACAAGTTTGAACCTGTTTTTGGCGTCGTCGTCGTCGTCGTTGGGAGGGGATCATTGGTGGGGAGTTATACTTACTTGCCTCCAAATTTCAGTCCTCTGCTTGCAATCCTTTGAATCAGTTGTGTTATCCATGGATAAATTGACTGATATCGAACGCGCATTTCTCAGAAGTCAACCACCTTACTGGGATGATTTTGACGATTTAATAGAAAGTTATTTTGGTGATATTTCACCTGAGTTTATCGGGATATTTGTGGGGAAAATTATTGATTTGCATAAAAATTTAGAGGTGATTAAAGCTGCTCGCAAAAAAGTGAACTGTTCGAATTGTTTTGATAGACTTGAAATAACCAAGAAACTAATAGAAATAACTGACAACTTAGTTAAAACTGCGCATACAAAAGTATCTTGTTCTCATTGTGTGGATAAACTACATCTAATTGACGACTTACTTAAAATTGCGTATACAAAAGTATCTTGTTTAAACTGTGTGGATAGTCATAATTTGAACCAAAAACTGTTAGAAATTACACAGAAGTTTCAAAAACTGGAATTACGTTTTATTCAACAGTAACTCTACAATGAACCGTAAACGATTGAGGTAATTTTTTTTTTTAAATCATTAATTATATTAAAAATTTACGTATTTTGTTTCTAAGAATTCAATTTTATTTCAGACTTCACTCATGTGACGATTCATGTGATCATTCTGCGCAAATCGAGTTCGACGAAGTAAGTGCTTCATCCAGTGATAGTGAAACTTCAAGTGAAGCTTCTATCGAAGCTCCGAGAGAAGTTTCTAGTGAAGCATCTAGAGAATCTTTTTGTGACTTTGAAATTTCCACGGAAAGCGTTGTTTGTATAGTGGAAGAATGTTTTTTCGGTGATAGGAAAGTTAAAGTAACATCTTATTATTTTAAAAACTTTTTAGTAACGAGTTATAAATATTCCGAAGACGATCCGGATAGTCCACCAATTGAGGCTAAAGTTATAATTCTTTAATTGACCAATTAAAAAAAGTGAAATATGGAATACTTAATTGATTTTACCTGTTATTTTATGCCAAACGGTTCATTTACGGTCAAGGAATTTTGTATCACCGAGATTACTGATGAATATCAATTCAATGGTGTTTATGAGTGTGACTATTATTTATTTAAGCCTCCAATGACGATTACTGGTACATCTGTTATTAAGCAAAATCTCGACTATAATGGACGTCGTCATGGATTTAGCTGGGATGTCGGTAAAACTGCGTATAATGTGCTTGGGGAAATTTTAAAAAATTTAACATGCTATTGGTGCTATTTATATGTTGAAGGTGAACAAAAGAAAGAATGGCTTGAAAAATTAATTGATGATCCATCTGTTGTAATCATATATTTAACAAAAATGCGTCATTATTCAATTGATAACATTGAATTTACACGTTTCAAGTGTCCATCTGCAGTGCACACTTCAACTGGCTATTTAAAAGCTTGTGCATTTCAAAATGTTCAACAACTCAAATTATGGTATTTAAAGTTTTATGGTTGTCAACCTAGCTACAACAAATCAGTTCAACTTTTCAATCAATTGACTACTCTACGAAAGATGCATCCTCGAGATCTAGCCTGTCTGGATTCACACTTTTTACTTCACTTTGCCAAAAGAGAAATACGCTTTATTTGGGATAAATTACCAAAGCATCTAAAACACAATGAAGAAATCAAAGAATATTCATTTTGCAAGCAACATTATCCTATAACTGGTGCTGATTGGGAAACATCCGGTATATATTTATATCCATACCGAAAATTTTGCTTACAATGTAATTTAGAGAAATAAGTAAAAAATAAAATTTTTTTGTATTATTCTACTTATAGTATAAGGAATCATATGTATTGAAATAATAATGTACATATTTTATAAAAAATTTTTTTCATTTATTAATAAAAATTTCATTTGATACATATATTTTATTATCTTAAACATTATACATTTACTTGAAAAGTTTTATTTGTGATAATTTTTTAATTAATATTGGATCCAATTTTTCGCTAGTTTTTAAAATTCTGTTTTTAAATCTGTCTCTGTCTCTCGCAGCCTGTTCCCACTCCCCCTTCCTTGCATTTTCATATGCATACTTCCAAACATGCATATAATGCACAGTTGGTGTTAGATTGAAAGTAACAACCATTCTTTTACACTAACTTACGAACAGTGCTGCTTATAGGATTGTATTCGATGATACGATCGTGGATAATTAAACAGTATGCTGTTGTGTTGGCTGCAAACTGATCAGCTGATTCAAATTCTAGTCGAATGTCTACTGGTCCAGATTTTATAGCTTCGTTCTGCTTGGAGCAATCAATTACACACAGTGGTGCTTGATCCAAAAATTTCTTTTTCGATAGGAGTGGTTCGGCTTCTTTGTTATAGTAGGATGTTTGAAAGTCTGTGTACATATGGTATAATAAAGCATACTGGTTGTGAGGTATATCTAAATTCAAGTCACCATAAGGATAACTTTGTGAATTTAAAAATAATTTGATGTTTCGTAAATTGCAGTGATCAAATTTGCTAGCATCTTTCCGAGCATTATTTTTCCTTGCTGTTTGGAATCCAAGAACAACGTAACGTGGCTTTTCAAGCTGAGTTGAGGTTTTCACTGCCCAAATATGTTTTGAAGTTGCAGGTAACAGAGGATACTCATACAATTCCCAAGTCCGAAAACTTATTGGTATAGCTGGATCACTGGCGATGTAATTCAGAGTTTGAATTTTTTCCTTATCTGCTGGAGTTATATTACAAAGTTTGATACCTCCGATTATCCACCGAATAATATCTACAATATACCGTTAGTTAATAAAAAAGTATTAGGTTTAATGAAAGATGAAAACAATGGAAAAATTATGTCAGAATTTGTAGGGCTTAGAGCAAAACTTTATTGTTTTAAAATATATAATGCTGAGGAAGATGATAAGGTTAAGATGCGTGCAAAAGGTGTCAAAAGTTCAACTTTACGAACTATCACGTTTGATGATTATAAAAAATGTCTTATGGATCAAACAAATGTAAATAAAGATCAATATATTATAAGAAGTGAAATGCATGAAGTTAAAACGATGCTTCAAAAAGAAAAATTAGCTTTAAGTTGGGGAGACGATAAACGTCAATTACTCGAAAATAGTACAGATACTTTACCTTGGGGTTATAAATCTTCAATATGTAAAAAAACAGTTAAAAGACCGAGATTATTATAAACTAAGATTTAGATAATAAGAAAAAATAATATCATGTTTTTTTTTGTAATAACATATGGATGTTGTAAATAAAAAAACTTTTTTTCTGTAAATTTTTCATGTATATTTTTTTTAAAGTATAATATTTCAGAACACATAAGTACATTTTTTTTTTATTAACATTTTAATTGAATTAATTTATTTATTATATTTTTAATTATGAAGGTTTAATAAGAAATTCAAACTTGTGATAAGCTGTTCCGAAATAATTCAAGTGAAGTTCTCCTGCTGAGGCCAAATCGATCAGTGAAGTTAACTGCTCTTCATCATCAATGAGCATCCGGTTGGTTCGATTCGGGAAGAAAATTGAAAACTCGTTTTCCACAATTCCCAAAATTTTTGGTCCATATTTTGTGTTGACTTTCTTAATTTCCGTGATTTGATAAATCTTGTTTAGTTGCAGTTCTTCAAACTTTTTAGTTGATAGAAAGTTCGGTAAGTTGTTGATTTTATTGATAGCACTCAAATCCATTTTTGAATTATTAAGCTAAGAAATAGATAGCTCTTTTTCCATTATTATTTTTCACAACTTTTTTTCCCCCACCACCAACATTGTAGTATGCATTAATATCATTGCTATCATCATCATCATCATCATCATCATCATCATCATCATCATCAAAAGGTCTTTGATTAATAACACCATCTGGTGGATAAGTCACGTAGAATTTATTAGCACCAATATCAATATTGGGTATTGAATTAAATGTAAGCAACTCTACAAGTCCTAATACATAATTTTTGTCTGGTGATAATTCAATAGGAGGGAAATAATTAGCCTCCAACACTGATGATGATCCTGTAAGTGTTAATGTAAATGACTCAGCCATGACTGATAACTCAAGCGTAATTTCCATGAATTTATAGTTCTCCAGTGAGAAATTTAAGACATAAATGTCCACATATAATTGTATTGAAATTTTGATATTGTTTGTAATTATATTTTATGCTACCAACACCGAGATAATCCACAATTTCTTGTGGTGGTTGTAAATTTCCAAAACTATCAAAATAAGTTACATTATTACCAATCTTTTTGTAACATACCCAGTGGGTACCAGGTCCATGTTTGTCATCTAAGTTGACTATCGCTGATTCATTTCTTTTAGGACCAGTTTTTGGTAAATCGTTTCTCATGAAAACTCCTCTAAAATTTAGGATTTTCAATTCTCTAACATACTTTAATATATCCTTATTTGTAAGTGCTCGGTGTGGTAGCTCTACTTGTTTTTTGATACTCCTTTACCTTTAGGATAAGGTCTCAAATATAAACCCATTCCACGTCTGTAAGGTCTCAAGTATAATCCTTTACCAATAGCAATTTCTTCCATTTTTGCATTATGTCTCTTACTCTCTGCTAGTTGATTTTTAGCTGCACTTGCACTATTTACAGCTTTTGCAATAGCTGCAGCTCCACCTGCAAGAGCACCAGTTGCTGAAAGACCTGCGAATAATGGAATCATAAATGGAATAATGCCACCAGTTTTAACTGGTACTGGCAAAATACGTGGGAGTCTAATATTTTTTCTTCCACCTGATTTTTTAACTGCCTTACGTGCACCAATCATTGCCGTTTTAATTGGATCATCACCAGCTGTCATAGATTTTTTAGCCTCTCCTACAATTTTCCTCAGTGCTACCTTCTTATTCATCTTTTTCTTTTTACCAATACTTTTTACGTTTGATTTTCTTTTTCTACAACCAGTCTTCTTCTTCTTGCTCTTCAAACCCATTCCGAATCGTCTCTTTAGCTTCATAATTTTGTTTACACTCCAAGCGGCGGCTTTTTCACCAATACCAGCGTCTTTTGATTGAACTCTTCGCCACGCTTTTTCAGCAAGTACTTTATCAGCCTCGTGACGTGCTTCTAAGTTTTCACGATTATTCGAGTAAGCTATATCGTGTTCTTTGCACGCTGCATCCAATTGATTAATACCAGGATCACCACGAGCTAATCTTTTAGCTAATTTTGTGCCAGGTCCACAGTATTGATAGCCAGGTATATGTAATTCAAACGGTAGTTTATTAATAATTCTATTAACTAAACTTTTACCTTTGACACGTCTATGCTCCATCACAGTAGCATAATGACTAATAAAAAAATCGTATAAAAGCCTATACTTATAGTAAAAATCAAAGAGTTGATGATACTACCGTGAGTTGTAAACATGAAGTTCCAACATCAACCAGCTAAATTACCAGTGACCAATTTTGATCAAATAGTTCAAGGTACTGGATTGAAAAAAGTTAAAAGACACGGTTCTCTGTTACCCAACAGTGTACGTGCTGTGTTTTGTGGTCCATCAAACTGTGGAAAGACTAATGCTTTGTTATCCATCATTATACATCCGAATGGATTGAGATTTGATAATATTTACCTCTACTCAAAATCCCTCGAACAGCCAAAATATAAGTTTTTAGAGTCACTTTTAAAACCTATAGAAGGCATTGGATTTTTTCCTTTCAATGAGCATGGAGATGTAATAAAACCTGAAGATGCTAAACCCAACTCATTAATGATATTTGATGATGTAGTATGAACATGCAGATTTTTTGGAATTCTTCCGTGTTTTAATATAGAATCCATTGCTTTGGTTACATCATTAGCACTTTTATTTTTTATAGGCACAGCCCAAGCGTACTTGGAAAATATATCAATCACTGTTAGTAAATATTTATAATTATTATTTACTTTTGAATAAGGAATCATTTCAACTAAATCAGCTTGCCAAGTCTCATCAAGTCCTCGAATATCAACATGGCGGCGTTGATAATTTTTATGAGCTGGTCTGTGAAGTTCATATGCTATTACCGATTTTTTATCTTCCATTTTTTTTCCTAATTCTTCTTGTTTCGGTTTCTTTCTTTTTAATTCTTGATTTTCTTTTTTCAACAAATCAAGAGAAGTCCTCAATGATACAACTTCTGAATGTAAATGGGAAATTATTTCTGATTGATCTTCTCTTATAGTCTTCTCTAATAAAGATAATTCTTTATTTATTAAATCACGCATAAATTTCAATGTTATCACGTCATTATCTTTCACTGGTTCTCCAACTTCACATAATCTTTTGTTTTCTAAATCAAATTGTCCATCAGAATTTATTTTAAATCCTCTTCCTGGAGCTCCTGGAGGCCCACTAACAACTGCTACAGTTTTCAAAGAACATCCAAATATATCAATTCTCATTTTTTTTTTTTTATTGTTCAGTTCACTTCAACAGTTCACAAACTAATGGTGAAATTCTGAAATATTACTTCTAATATATAATTTCAGCCTCTCTTAATTCTTCAATAATCGAAATAATTTCATTAGTATGACTGGTATTACCAGCTGATTGAGAGGCCATTAATAGACGTAATCTTTCAACCAGTTCATTAGGATCATCCCAGTATACATAATCCATATTTCTATTTTTCTTTTTTACTATCATGTGGCTAGGTAAACCCCCACCTTTCGAAAAGTTTGGATGTCTTTTTGCTAGAAATTCAACAACATAATTTTGGAACTTGGGTGACGGATCATTGAAAATACTTGTATCTGGCTTGTAATTTTTCCAATACATATTCGTTCTTTCAACAATATCTAAGTAGTATTTCTTATCATTCTGCGTTACTACAGAATCTTGAGGATCTTTTTTGAATAAAAATTCCAATAAACCATGAGTCATGGGATAAACTTTGTCTTGAACATTAATTTCATCTTTGTTGAAATAAATATTTGAATTTCCAATGTACATTGCTTTATTTTTTTTGCGAACACCATACCTGAAATCATTCTCTTTGTGATTTCGATTTAATTTTTGTATGTAAGTTTTTAATAAATGATCCGTTTTGGTAGGAGTACTTGAAGCTAGTGGTTCTGTGGATCGATGCTGTCTGTTGCTATTAGTGACACTTTCATCTTCTGAGATCAGACTATCAAAGTTATCTGGTTGATGGTCTGAGTTTTCATTTTTTGTTTCTTCTTTTATCTCTTTTTTTATATTTTCTTGTTTAATTTTTCGCCCTGATGATTCAATAAGAGTTTTTAATGGTGTGACTATCGGTTTGAACATTTCATCCATGGCTTTTTCAGCTGTATCTTTTCCTAACTTCAAGAGTTTATGTTTGCGTCGGATTGCATCACTTGCCCGGGAGATTTGATGTAAAACATCCTTTTGTTTTAAAATATCCTCCGACTTCATGTTGATTTAACAAACTACTTAACATGTATGATTATTATTTATCCGATACAGGTTAATTTATACTAATGAAACAGTCAAAACCCTTACGATACCTTCCATCATTTAATTCACTGTCTTTGTCAATTACTACAAAGCCATATTTATTATCGTTCCAACACGCTGAGCATAAGTCCTTGAAAGTATTGTATTGCATGTCAGTATTTACATGATCATCGTAAATGTGTTTTAAATTCATTTCATCTTGTCGAAATATAACTAAAAAATTAATATTGTCACGAATCAGATGTTTGGGAATGCGTGTATATGTTTGACAGAGATAAAAACTATCGACATTTTTATGTCTACCCATACAGAAATAGGCTTTTATATGATCCTGTTTTTCACATGCTACATCATCAAATGCTATTACTAGTTATTACAATTTAAAAAAATACTTACATGTTCTTCATTATACTCAAACATATCACGGATTCTGAAACAATCTTCCAATTCAATCTCTTCTTCACCATCTTCATTATACCCAAGAAGGTATTCATAAGTTGATCTATCCCATCTACGTTTGACTTGGATCCATCGTCGCCAACTTCCGAAATCCATCCCATCAAATAACTTGATCGGGATTGGAGAATAATTTAACATAAAATCAACATACTGCTTTTGTCTGTATGTCAATCGATTCCATATTAGTGGAACTCTATCCTCAATAATTGAATCCGATGCTAATTTCCCATTAGCATCATCACTGTTGTCATCTAATTCGAATAAATTTTTTATGTTTAGCGATTGGTCTTGCCAAACGCCGCCTTTTTTTAAGTATTTTCTAATATCCTTGCGAACTCGAAACTCACGAATAAGCTTTTCTTTTAATATTTCAACAATTGCAAGGATTGTTAAATACATTTTGATTGAGTGTATTTTAACGTTAGCACGCACAAAAAATTCACAAAAAAGAACTCACTAAAACTTACAACTGCTCAGTTGAAACGTCTTGAGTAGAATGAAAATATGATCTATTAAATTTAAGTTTTTCAACACATGTCTCTGTTAAAGAGAAAACTCGAGTGAGATGAAAAATTTTTACGATCGGTCAGACGTAAAACAGTGGGCCTTATGTATTATAGTTCTATACACATAAAAACTTGAAAAAAAATATTTTTTAAAAATATTTTTAAAAAAACAAATTATTTAACTAAGATCTGAACAATCTTTTGTTTTTTTTTTAATCATATAAATAATTTTTTTAGAAATCACTCCAACTGTCGAAAGCACTATTCGAAATATTTTTGTGATAATAAATTAAATAATAATAAATTTTTATTTATTTTATCCCTATTATTATTTCCGTTTATTATTATTATTACACAAACATAAGATTAATTAGTTAAAATTGAGTTTACAATAATCATGATCGTTCAATAATTAAAAAAAAAAAAAAGCTAACTAACGGCTATTTTTTATCTACAATGTTATTGTTAAATGATTTTTTGTTACAAAAATTTTATTAGCATTCTTAGAACTGTAAATCTCGGTTTGATTAAATAAATTATTTTATCAATGGTATAGATTCTTATATTTCAGCATCTGTTTATTTTAGAATGATTACGTGGTACCAACGGTCATATTGACACTCGATACTTAGAGCATAAGAAAAATTTTAGACATTGTAAATCTGTCATCACGTGTTCTGTAACGTTTCTTATTAATCATAGGTGGTCTTACTATTATTTGACTCACATATACATGTATGAATATATATGTATTTCTTGGATGCATTAATTTTTTATATAAATATTCTGAGATTACTTCCTTGACTTACAGAAGGAGTTTTAATCTCGCACTTTGCATATCTCAGTCAAAAAGAAATTGAATCTCACATCTAGCGTATATCATATGATTTAAAAAGTTTGATTTAACAACTGTTAGTGATTTATACAAGCATTAAATTCATTTTGCGAATTTTTTTTTTTTTTTGCAAATTTTTTTGAAAATTATTAACAATTGTTATTGATTTATACTAACATTAAGTTGTTTTTTTTTGCGAATTTTTTTTGCAAATTATTTTTTTGCGAATATGTCTCAACAAATAATAGAAGCTATTCACAGCCTGGTAGATACAGTGTCTGAATCTTATACCGATTTAGAATCTAACCAAGTGAGTGTTGAACAATGTGAACGGTGTTTTAATGTTTGCCAAGATACTATTAACTATTTTGATACTATCTTATCAGATCCGCAGACGAGTGTGTATGTGAAACGTAGTGTTAAAACACAGATTACCCTTCTGCATTGGTATAGTGAACAGTTTTTGTTATTGAGTGGTCAAGTTGCGGGTGGTGATTTAAATCAACCGAATAATTCTATTAAATGGCAAGATCTTGGGAATGCCTTTTCAAATAACATTAAGACTGGCTCAGTTATTAACCGTACTCATAAAAATATCGGGGAGTTTTTAACTTTTCCTGAGAATCTTGTTTGTGCAAAAGTTCAAAAAATGTTAAATAAAGTGAATAGTTTAAAAATCAACGTTGAATTTTTTGGTAAATTTGAGATTCCAACAGTAGATAAGCAAGGCCGGTTTGACCCCCCGATAAAGTAGATTTATGCATCACGACATTGGGTTTCTACCTTATCGACGGTCGTTGGTGGAGTTTCTGCAATATCGATGGTTGGTTTTTTGTGATTTACTTACCGACTGTTGTTAGGGATTATCATCGGTTTGTTGGTCGATTTTTTTACCGACTGTTGGGGGATTATCATCGATTTGGTGATCGATATTTACCGACTGTTGGGGTGATTATCATCGATTTGGTGATCGATATTTACCGACTGTTGGGGGTGATTATCATCGATTTGGTGATTGATATTTACCGACTGTTGGGGGATTGTCATCGATTGTTTGAGGTCAAAATGCTACCACCCCAACAGCGGAGCTGATACCTTTACCGTGTATCAGCTTTGGTGTTGATGTGATATGCACTTATTTGATGTGATGATGAATTTTGTATATATTCAAATGACTTGTAGTATAAGTATATGCGAGAAAGTTCGATACTCACACCGCTCTGGTGGGATGAAATGTAGCTATTGAAGTCTGTTTATCGATTTGTGGTAAGTTTTATCGACAGTCTGATGTCAACTAGCGATCTATGTTATCGACAATCGGTATTATACCGAGTGATGTTCTGTTTTATCGATGTGGGGTAAGAGTTTTTTGAATTTTAACGCTTTTTAGCCCCCTACTCTCTCGATTACGTCATGTTTTTACGCCATCCGACAAGTTTAAACCTGTTTTTTAGTGTCGTCATCGTGAATTTTAACGTTTTTTACCCCCTCTTCTCTCGATTACGCCATGTTTTTACGTCATCCGACAAGTTTAAACCTGTTTTTGGCGTCGTCGTCGTCGTTGTTGGGAGGGGATCGTTGGTGGGGAGTTATACTTACTTGCCTCCAAATTTCAGTTTTCTGCCTGCAGTTACTTCAATCAGTCGTTCAGTTTAAAAAAAATCTGTGTCTTTTTTTAAAAATATTTAAAATTGTGTACTCTACGGAAAATCAAGTAATTCATTTATTTCATTATTCTATTTTATAACTAATTTCTACTATTATTATTATTAACTATTTTCTATCTATTTCTTAGCTTAATAATTCAAAAATGGATTTGAGTGCTATCAATAAAATCAACAACTTACCGAACGTTCCACCAACTAAAAAGTTTGAAGAACTGCAACTAAACAAGATTTATCAAATCACGGAAATTAAGAAAGTCAACACAAAATATGGACCGAAAATTTTGGGAATTGTGGAAAACGAGTTTTTAATTTTCTTCCCGAATCGAACCAACCGGATGCTTATTGATGATGAAGAGCAGTTAACTTCACTGATCGATTTGGCCTCAGCAGGAGAACTTCACTTGAATTATTTCGGAACGGCTTATCACAAGTTTGAATTTCTTATTAAACCTTCATAATTAAAAATGTAATAAATAAATTAATTCAATTAAAATGTTAAAAAAAAAAAATGTACTTATGTGTTCTGAAATATTATACTTTAAAAAAAAATATACATGAAAAATTTACAGAAAAAAAAAGTTTTTTTATTTACAACATCCATATTGTTATGTAAAACATTTTTTTTAATATTAATTTTTTATTAATATTAATTTTTATTAATAATTTCTTTTCTTTTGAAGACCGTCATAATTTTTCGTTCGTTTGTAGACCAGGTAATAGGATAATTAGAATCCATGTCCCTTACTTAGATACTTAGTCTGGAACCTCAATGCATTTAAGATTTTAAAGCTTAACAAACAAGTAAATGGAGTTTTGTATACGTAAATGAACTAGTAGCCGTTTAAAAGAAACATTGGAAGATGTTATCGGGGTATTTTCAAATCTAAAGCTGCCCTTAAATGCACTGTGGCACTAAAGTCCGGACTGGGAAATTTTCGTAATTATAATTTCATTAAGAATATCTTCGGGTCTACTGTGTAGACGTATCATAAAAAGATTTTAACTTAAGCTTAGAAAGATAATAATTTTTCGATAATAAGTAAAATTCTTAAACAACGCTTTTAACCTATAGCCTAAAATAATTTAGTTAAAACACGTGTTAAGATAATAAATAATTAAAAGTAAAATAGATTCATAAAGTGAAATCAACTAAAGCAATTTGAATTAACAAGATTCCTCAACTTTATCAGGTACATTTTAATTATTAATATTTGTGAATTTAATAATTTGGCAAAATCGTTATATGAAAGAAAATATTAAATTTCAACCATAGTGTAATAGTTGTAACAATTGTAATAATTTTGTAACTTAATTAACTTTTAATTTAAATAATATATGTATTAAAATTATTCAACTACATCAATTTATTCAAACAAACCTATCATTCTCAATAAATTAAAACTCGGAAGTTCCCGGTCTATTAGCCTAACACGCTAGGACCAAATACTTAAACACATTAAATATTTTAAATGTAAAATTAATTAATTACCCTAAATTAATATTTTTTACATAACATTTTTGGCGCTCGAACAGAGACACCGAAGTTTTATTGAGAAATTCAGTTATTAAGACAGATTTTGAATACACAGAACGAATAATATTTTCTTTCAAATTATATTTGTATTAATTCAAAAGTGAATTTTTTTTGTATACTGTATTTCATGTTTTATTTTGTATTCTATTTATTTGAAACATTTGGGAATTGAAACTTGGTTGTTTAATAATTTAAAATTTATCAGTTAAATTTTTTTTATTATTTCGAAATTTATTTAAATTTTTTTTGTTTGTTGAATTGAAAATAATTTAAAACGTTATTGCCGTCATGAATCAATGTCGGATAACGACAAACCTTACTCTTTGAGAAAGCACGGAGAAACACCTTTCCCAGAAGGGTTACCACCAACCACTAGAAAAAAATTTCAATTCACTGATCCACCCGACGCGAATGCAACCGTAGATTCAGGGGTCGGGAAATCTTTAATACACCCGGAATATACTTCGGACGAAGATTCAGAGGAAGAACCAACTGTTAAAAACTCAAATAATTCGGATTTAGACAACCTTAGTGCTAATACTCTTAACGATAATAGTGAAAATAATTCGGTTATCGAACAAGATAAAGTCGAAGGTGTTTTGTCGGTCCAAAATCCAATCGATCTTAATTTAGTAAATCAAATTCATCAAGAAGGTCTAGAAAATATAAATAATATGGCATTAGCGGCTAATCAAAACATTTCTTTAAATGACGCGCTTACCTTTGTTCCTCGGTTTGACGGAGTCCCGAGTGAATTAACAGATTTCTTAAATTGTTGTAATGACGCAAAGTCCGTTTTACCGGATGTTGCGGAGAGTAATTTGACAAAATTGATATACGGTAGTAAACTCAGTTCTAAAGTACGGGCTTCCCTTAATAGCGAAATACCGGCATCGGTCGCGATTCTAACAACAGCTTTGAAAAAAATATATGTCCCTTCTAAAACTTTGTTCCAATTACAAGGGGAATTAGGTACAATTTATCAATTAGACAACGAATCTGTCGTAGACTTTGCGAACCGCCTACGAAAAAAGGGCCGCGAAATAGTCGAGTGTCATGCGTCGCTAAATCCCGATTTACCACAGGCAGGAAAAGACGCTTTTAAAAATAATACAGACACGTCCGTTTCGGGATGTTTTGTACAAAACTTGCGGAATGAGATTGACCAACGTATGCCTGTGTGCGCTAATGCGGAGGAAGCGTTACAGAATGCTATTAATATCGAGAGGAAATTGAACGCACGAAAGGAATTACGCCGCGAACCCAAAGAAAAGAAATCTAACGAAGAAAAGAAAAAGAGCGATGAAAAAATCAAAAATTCTTCTAAGAGTGTTAACTTTACAACAGGATCCCAGAATAAGCCCAATAAACCCTCCACATCGCAAAACAATAACAAGAACAAAAATAATAACTATCAGAATTTTAATAGTAATCAAAATAGTAGTTCGAGTACGGTAACTTGTTATAATTGTCACCAACCAGGTCACGTTATGAAAAATTGTCCAGACCTCCAGTGTCAAATTTGTTTTGAAAAAGGACATTCTGCCAAAAATTGTCCTCTATTAACAGGGAAAAATGATCAAACTAACTTTTATACTCGTGCGCGATGTCAATTGTGCGGAGTCAGGGGACATACAGCGAAATACTGCGATCAAAATCCGAATAGAATAACTTCAAATGCAAATTCAAGTCCGCGGATTAATAATAATATTAATAGTAATAACAACAAGGCTAATACGGGAAAATTTTGCAACATTCATCAAACGACGAGCCATAATACGGAAGAATGTAAATTTGCGAAACGACTACAGAATGCTCAACAAAATTCTTTTCCAAAGGAAGCGGGAAAAAACAACCGACCGATACACGTTGTCAAAACATCGGAAGCATCGAGCGGAGACGATTCCGAGTAATGAAAGTAAAATTAAATTTAGATTTGGATAATTTACCCTACGCTGTAGTTGGTAAGTCATCCAAAACCGGTGACGTGATTATGATGCTGGATTCGGGTGCGTCACCAAATTTAATTAAAGCTAAGTATTTATCGGATAATACAAAAATTGATCTAAATAACATAATAGACTTGCATGGGATATCAAACGTCCCGGTTTTTACTTTGGGTAGTGTGACAATTAAACTTTTTGATAGAGACGCTGTATGTCACGTGGTTCCAAACGACATGACTATTCCGCACGCTGGTTTGGTCGGATCAGACTTTTTTGCAAAGCACGGTGCGAAAATAGACTATAAGAATAGAGTTTTAGAAGTGGATCACGAAAAATATCCCTTTAAACAATCTAATAGGGTCGAAAACGGGGTCATGTATGTTCCCCGACGCAGTGAATCTACCTTTTTTGTTAATATCAAAAACCCAGAAGTAAAAAAGGGTTATATTCCTAGGTTAAAAATTTGTAAGGGTGTATTTGCGGGGGATTGTTTAGTCAAAGTTCGGAAAGGACGGGCCTACATGCAAATTTATAATACAACCGATAATGAGGTCGGCATTATGATTCCTACTTTAAAGGTCCAAGAAGTCGAACAAGTATATGAGCCTACCCCTGTTGATCCAAATGACCCCCAAGAAGACATACATCAAAGTCTCGGAATTTCTAAACACATTTTTACAGTCGTTAAAGATTTTGAATTCACAAATAGATTTGAACAGATTAAACCTTTTTTGAATTTAGATTATTTAGATAACGAAGAAAAAGGACATGTTGAACGTTTAGTAAGAAAACATGCCGATCGGTTTTACATCCCAGGAGAACCATTAAAATCTAGTAGTTGATATAAACATAGAATTCCAACGAATTGTGATTTTCCGATTTCCACAAAACAGTATCGAATTCCCCATCATTTGAAACCTGAAGTCGAAGCTCATGTTAAAGAGGGACTCAAAACAGGCATTATAAAGCCTTCTGAGTCGCCCTATAATAGCCCCATTTGGATCGTTCCGAAAAAATCGGATTCGCAGGGAAATAAGAGATGGCGTGTCGTGATAGATTTTCGTTTGCTAAATGAAAAAACAATTACCGACGCGTACCCCCTTCCAAATATAGTAGAAATTTTGGATCAACTTGGCGGCTCACAATACTTCTCAGTCTTTGATTTGGCATCAGGTTGTCACCAGATCGAGATGGATCCTAAAGACAGTCACAAGACAGCTTTTTCTACTCCACAAGGGCATTGGGAATACACTCGTATGCCTTTTGGATTAAAAAATGCCCCAGCAACCTTTCAGAGGTTAATGGATACTGTACTGACAGGTCTTCATGGAGTCTCGATGTTTGTGTACCTCGACGACATCATTGTTTTTGCCAAAAATTTAGATGACCATGAAAAGAAAATCGATGAATTGATGGATAGATTGCGACGAGCGAATTTACAATTACAATCGGAAAAATGTAATTTTCTACGACCAGAGGTGAGCTATTTGGGTCACATAATAAGTCGTGATGGATTAAGACCAAATCCCGATAAAATAAAAGCCGTCGAAAAATTTCCTGTCCCGAAGAAACAACGAAACATACGGGAGTTTTTAGGTTTAACCGGATATTATCGTCGTTTTATTAAGAATTTTTCAAGAATAGCTAAACCCTCGACAAAGTTATTAGAGAAGGACGTGGAATTTAAATGGGACGATAAAACTCATGCGGCTTTTGAAGAATTAAAATCAGCTCTTTGTACCGCACCCGTATTACAATATCCAGACTTTTCACAACCCTTTATAATAACAACTGACGCTTCTGGACTCGCGATCGGGGCTGTACTATCGCAAGGAGAGATCGGTAAGGATCGTCCTATCGCGTATTTCTCCAGAGTATTGAGAGGTGCCGAAGTAAGATACGACACTTACGAGAAGGAAGCGTATGCCATGATTCAAGCGGTTAAAAATTTCAGAGCGTATGTTTATGGTCGTCCATTTGTCATAGTAACAGACCACAAACCTTTAGTTTGGTTCTGCACCGCCACAGACGGAAATTCTCGTGTTTTGAAATGGAGATTAAAATTAGCCGAACATGAATATGGAGTTGTCTATAAACCAGGCAAAATTAATTTGAATGCGGACGCGTTGTCCAGAAATCCCGTGGAACCGGTACATGTCACAACCCGAGCACAAAAAGCAAGAGAAGAACTTGAAGAAGAGTTTCGACCAGTAAGAAATAACTACAAGAAACCTGCAGTAGAAACACCGAAGACTTCTCTGCAGGAAAAGGAAACTGCAGTAGAAACACCGAAGACTTCTCTGCAGGAAAAAGAACCTACAGTGGGAACACCGAAGACTCCCCTGCAGGGAACAGTGGGTGCTCCAACCAAGAAGAGGGGAAGACCGCCTAAACATCGAGAGAAATCTGATGAAAAACGGATTGACCCGAGCGAGGTAATGCCTTCATTAGATCTTGATGTTAATGTAGAATCCGACGCGAATTCTGATGACGAATCGAGTTCCAGTGACTCGGACAGTTCGATCGAAACCATCAACGATTTAAAAAGAGAAGAAGGCAACAAAGCAACCAACATTATAGCAACGAAGGATCTATTTCAGTACCGACATGATAACATGGTATATTTTTTAAATGGAGATGGGCAACCTTGCGATGAGGGTGCTCGATCGTTGAAATCAATTGGTAAACTTCCTAATGTTGGGTTCATAGACACCGGTCAAGTGTATTGGACCAAGAAAGGAAATACGAACCATTTTGGATTGGTGATTCGCGGAACAAGCGGAGAATCAATTATACGTGTCAGAAGCAACATCGCCAAATGTCTAGTAAAGCTCAAAGGAATATTGAAGGACAAAAGAATAACAAATTTCTCAATAGCGTTTTCAGAATTCATTGAAAATGTATCGTGGAAAGAAGTATTGTCGATAGTTCATGATATTTATGAAAATGAGCCAATAAAAGTAATAATTTGTCTTGGAACGATTCGATATGTTCCATACGACGAACGCGATCAAATATTTTATGAAGCCCACAAGTCAGCAATTGGGGGGCACAAAGGGGTTTCGAAGACGTATAATCGGATTAAAACAAAATATTATTGGGAAAATTTGAGGCAAGATATTCAGATACGCATCCAACAGTGTCTAGAATGTCAGCTCAAAAAACTCGTCCGCGTCAAAACAAAACAACCAATGTTGATAACCGATACCCCCGGGACCGTTTTCGAAAAAATTGCTATGGACATAGTAGGTCCATTGCCGGTTACTGAACAGGGTTTTGAGTATATTTTAACCATTGAAGATCAACTTTCTAAATTTTGCATAGCATCACCATTGAATAATATGTTAGCAACAACAGTTGCTGATGTGTTTATCAAGCGCTTCATCTGTACGTTCGGGGCCCCGAAAGTCTTGTTGACGGACCAGGGCCGAAATTTTATAAGTTCTTTTATGCAAAGAATTAGTAAGAGATTTAAAATTAAAAAGATACAGACAACAGCATTTAGACCGCAATCAAATGGTTCTCTAGAACGTACCCATCACGTTCTGGGAGAATATTTGAAACAATTTGTGAGTCGAGACAATGAATGGAATAACTGGCTTGAGTTAGCGACCTTTTCCTATAATACTTGTGTTCATGAGGGAACTAAATTTACTCCCTATGAACTTGTTTTTGGAAAAGTCGCTCGTGTACCGACTAGTGAACCCCTCCATGAACTCGATTGTTTACCAACCTATAACGACTATATCAGCAAATTAGTAAATAGATTAATAAACATTCGCGAATTAGCCCGTGAAAATTTAATTAAAGCAAAAGAGAAATCGAAAGAAATACACGACAAACACATAAAATTTGTAACGTTCAAAGCAGGAGAAAATGTTTTCCTTTTGAAAGGGCCCAAACCCAATAAATTCGGGGACCATTATGATGGGCCATATAAAATTCTAGAGGTTTTCCCTAATGGGAACGTAAGTCTAAAAATCGGGAGTAAGACAAAAGTCGTACATCCGAATCGTCTTAAGAAAATAACCATTGAAGTTTCAGCTCCCAAAAAGAAACGAACTAAAGTCGCGGACCCAGATCCCGACTTTAGACATTAATTAATAATTTATGTTTCAGATATGAATATTCAGCTTTTTATTGTCATGGCAATGTATTGGGGCTGTTCCGAGGCCATAATTGGGTATGATTGTGGTAGTAAGATTTTAAATATGACTACCATATCGCTAGTAGACATTGATGAATGTGATATAGAGGAAAATCGGGTAGAAACGTCCCTCCCTGAAATTGCGCTCTTACAATTGAATGAGTATCAACATACTAACGCTATACAATGTAAAATAGAAATTCATCGTGTCATCCAACATTGTGGATGGCAGTCTTATAATTCCATAGTAAGTCAGGGAATAAACGAATATATCTACCCGATTTCTCGCGAATTATGTCAGGTCGCGCATGACCATAAGACACTACGAATTGGTAACACATTCATTGATGGTCTCGAAATAAATACCACCACGGTACGTAGTATGAGTTTGGCAGGCAGTGTTAACTCTAACGCTGACTGTACCAACTCACAGTATTCTGATCCCTTCGGTACCTGGGACGATGTGTTTGTCATCCGCGGTCGCGGATAGTCCAAACATCTTGCGTCAGCATGGGACCCGGGCCTCGATGACTCTCTCAGGGAGCAACCTGAGCTGCAAAGATGGCTGAAATACTGTTTATAAAAACTAATCTGGAGTTGATTCAAGTCAGTAGATCTACGGACTTTCTTGAGCACAGAACTCTGTCCGACTTGAACCTCTCCAGATCCTTAATCCAATAAAACTAAAATTACATTAAACACGCTGTTAAATCCTTTGGTGCGAGCGCCTTTCAGCTGTTCCACCAATTCAAATCCTTTCGGTACAAGGGCTCATTAGCCGTTTCACCGATTAAAATTTCCATGGTGTGAGCGCCTTTCAGCTGTTCCACCAATTCAAATCCTTTCGGTGCAAGGGCTCATTAGCCGTTTCACCGATTAAAATTTCCATGGTGTGAGCGCCTTTCAGCTGTTCCACCAATTCAAATCCTTTCGGTGCAAGGGCTCATTAGCCGTTTCACCGATTAAAATTTCCATGGTGTGAGCGCCTTTCAGCTGTTCCACCAATTCAAATCCTTTCGGTGCAAGGGCTCATTAGCCGTTTCACCGATTAAAATTTCCATGGTGTGAGCGCCTTTCAGCTGTTCCACCAATTCAAATCCTTTCGGTGCAAGGGCTCATTAGCCGTTTCACCGATTAAAATTTCCATGGTGTGAGCGCCTTTCAGCTGTTCCACCAATTCAAATCCTTTCGGTGCAAGGGCTCATTAGCCGTTTCACCGATTAAAATTTCCATGGTGTGAGCGCCTTTCAGCTGTTCCCCAGGTCCAAAAACCTCCTTCGGAGATGAGGGCTCATTAGCCGTCCTATCCGAATTTCCTCCTCGGTCCATGCCACGGAAAGGCAGGCGTTCACGTCATTCGGGTCGGGCTGTATAAAGGGGCCGTTCATTTCAGTTGCGGTCGCTTCAACTGTCCATGCCCATAATCTCCGACGAGGAGCTAGAAGTATCGCGAGTGCAGGTAAATTGTGCTACCGACGTACTTCAGGGCAATTATTCGCCCAGGTCGCCATCTCCGTCGCTGCAGGAACCATCGAGCACTGGACTATTAATTCCTGGAAATCATCCAGCCTTTTGGGCGGACGTATCACGTTCTTGGGCACTCAAGGCCATCGACCTTCCGGAATATTTCCAACCACCAGGTGAAACAATTCCGCTTCGAGATCCACGGTACGGCTACTACTCTGAGGAGCACTTTCTCCGCACCGGATTTGACAGCTACCCTCCGTTTGAAGCCAGGGGGCTCGCTCAAAAAGGTATTATTTGGGCAAAACTATGGGGTCCGTAATGGTGAGTCTTTAAATTATTAGAGAGGTAAAAGTAAGCTCATCTGTGACGGCACGCCGGGGGTCAATAGATCACCCAACGATGTCAAACCTGAATTTTATTCGTCAGTTCTTAATTATTAAATTTAAAATCACCAATAGAAATTTAGAAGCGAATTAAAATAATTCCCAAAAATTGAGAACGTAACAGGCAAAATCGTTATATGAAAGAAAATATTAAATTTCAACCATAGTGTAATAGTTGTAACAATTGTAATAATTTTGTAACTTAATTAACTTTTAATTTAAATAATATATGTATTAAAATTATTCAACTACATCAATTTATTCAAACAAACCTATCATTCTCAATAAATTAAAACTCGGAAGTTCCCGGTCTATTAGCCTAACACGCTAGGACCAAATACTTAAACACATTAAATATTTTAAATGTAAAATTAATTAATTACCCTGAATTAATATTTTTTACATAACAATATCTTATTACAAAAAAAAAACATGATATTATTTTTTCTTATTATCTAAATCTTAGTTTATAATAATCTCGGTCTTTTAACTGTCTTTTTACATATTGAAGATTTGTAACCCCAAGGTAAAGTATCTGTACTATTTTCGAGTAATTGACGTTTATCGTCTCCCCAACTTAAAGCTAATTTTTCTTTTTGAAGCATCGTTTTAACTTCATGCATTTCACTTCTTATAATATATTGATCTTTATTTACATTTGTATGATCCATAAGACATTTTTTATAATCATCAAACGTGATAGTTCGCAAAGTTGAACTATTGACACCTTTTGCACGCATCTTAACCTTATCATCTTCCTCAGCATTATATATTTTAAAACAATAAAGTTTTGCTCTAAGCCCTACAAATTCTGACATAATTTTTCCATTGTTTTCATCTTTCATTAAACCTAATACTTTTTTATTAACTAACGGTATATTGTAGATATTATTCGGTGGATAATCGGAGGTATCAAACTTTGTAATATCACGTTTGATGATTTCATACACATTAGGTACTGTAAAGTGATAAATTAGACTGTCGGTATCTGTATACATTAATTTAGAATCCTGATTTTTAAAATTTTTCTTTACATAATTATAGTGAAAATCGTATATATAAGTTTTTGACATATCTAAAATACAAAAACCTACATAGATTGGTTTATTGAATTGCACTTTTACAACATTCATTTGAATAATTATCATACTTTCATCAAAAACCGTAAGACTATGAAAATTTGGTTTGCAAATCATATCAGATGCACCATATCTGCCAGACCATCGTGTGACTATTCTGACATCTTTGTATTTCCTAACATTTTCCATAGTCTTACCAAATACTGCATTGTTCATTAATTTATAAAAATCTTTCTCAAATTCATTTTTTGCTGCTTTTCTACAATCAGTGTTCTTATCTATATACGGTTTTAACCATGGTGACTCTTTAAATCTTAAAACTCTATGTATTTTCGTTAATTTTAATCCTAATTCTAAACATTGTTTTAAATTTCTATAATGTATTACATAATTTTTTTTATCATATAAAGTAGTTGCTAATTTTGTTTGCTTTTTTTCTGGAGGTAAAAAGTGTTCTGGACATAATGGCAAATCTTTATGTAAATCATATAATTCTTCCGGATATTTCAGATCAACCTCGAGTATATAGCCAAAACCATTGGTATTATTATTTAAAAATTTATCAATTTCTTGATTAATATCAAAATTTAACTCAACCCATTCAAATGAGTCTGTTGGTAAGGGCATACTCATCGATGCACCATACAAATTATTAACATCGAAATACATTAAATATGATTCCGGTTTATTTGAATCAAATTTATCATCCATATATCTATTATTCGCTAACGCATACCTATTTGTACACTGAGAAACACCACCTCTGATACCTTTTTCAATGAATAACATAATTTCCGGATCATCTAGCAATTCTAATTCTACACCAGTATACTTTAACATCGCATCAAAAGCTAATCCTGGAATTGTATAATAGTGCAAAGAATCTAAATTATATGTATTCAAGCAATTACTTCTAAAATTTTCAAATACATCAGCTAATAGAAGTACATCAGTTTTAAGATACAAATCAGAATATTTTCCCAATGTTTTTAAATTAAATTCTTTCCATACTGATTGAGCAAAAGCATATTCTTCATCTGATATATTTTCGTTCGATAATTTAGAATAAAAATGTTGAATTTCAGGTAACTGTTTATCATTTGATTTATCATTACTGCTTATGTACTCATATGGAAAAACCCCTTTTCTCGTGACTAATCTAAAATTTTCTGGATCATTATAATGAAGTTTAGTTATCTTTTTATCATCATCTTTTAGATTTGATGCTAATTTATTTAAACTTGAGGCCATAAATTTAAATGAGTCTATGAATCTTAGATTAACGCATGTTTTTTCAACATACTTAGTAAAAGAAATATAACGCTCTTTAGTGATTGGTAATATTTCAATTTTACCTTTGAAATTTGCAGCTAAAGACTTTATTATAAAATGAGAGTCATAACCGGACATATTATGAAAAACTACTGGTATAGTATGTGAATTTTTATAATTTAAATTACATGATAAATGAGCAGGCCCTCTATAATATCCAGTAAAATGATTATGATCATAACATTTATCCTGAGAATTTATAATTGACTTTTGACAAATATAGCAAATATTCGCATGTTTATGATCTTCTAATTGCTGTTTCGTTAAAGGTTTCATAGGTATTGGATTTTTTAAGTATGAATCTACTTCAATTGCAAAATTTTTAAGTTTACCCACAAACCAATCAATGCAATTTTCTGAACGATTTATTTCAAATTTAGATAATTTATTGTTATAATTACAAAAGCGATAAAATGCAATGCTGTGAGGAATATGAATATCCGTATCATCATCGATGGGTGTCAGTGTACATTCTAGATCTGCATAAATAACAAATGGTACAGTATCCTAATATTGAAAATTTTTAAACTTTAATATTTTATTTTCCTCTGTTGGAAATACCATGTGAACTTTATTAATTTTTAAACAATCTTTTCTATGACGTTCAAAAGATTTTCTTATTTTAAAATGATTTAAGCATCGATTACAGAAGAAATGTTTCTTTTCTGTTTTTGTTATACTACTTGTTACTAAAGCTGATAAATTATTAATTAATGCAAAATGATAAATCGGTTCATAATCATCATAATCATCGCTCTTCATATTTAAATTTATATTAGTTTGTATTATTAAAAGATGAATAGTTTTTACATTAGAATTCATAGATTTACTTAAATATACCGGAATTATTACACATTCATCAGATTTTTTATCTGATTTTTCACCAGAAAAATCAGATTCTAAACCGTATACATTAATAGATAAATTGTTCATTTTTTCAATTTTCACAATATCTTTGATTTGAATTGGAAAATTAATACCATTGTATTTAAGTACCTCACTAAAATGTGGATAAGAAGTAGTTCTCTCGCTGTGACCCGTCCTTGAAGGGTGAATAGCAGCTACAACACACCACAGGAAGCAGTATTCATCAAAGTTTTGAATGTTCAAAACTGCATGTCGGTTGATTATCTTCTGGGGCATCCTCACAAAAGTTGAGATTCCAGCATGAAGGGGTTGATATTTCGACATTGTAATCACTAAATTTGAAATTTCAGATAAACGCCATCCGGATTTTTCTTGACAGAATTCTTCGATTTTTCTTATCAAGGCATTGGTTACGTGATCTCTATACCAATCAGCAATGTCTGTAGATGCTAATATTTCACGATTTTGTGTAACAAAAGATTTCATTTCTTCTCTGTTGGTTGTAGGAATCTCAAATTTACCAAAAAATTCAACGTTGATTTTTAAACTATTCACTTTATTCAACATTTCTTGAACTTTTGCACAGACAAGATTCTCAGAAAAAGTCAAAAATTCACCGATATTTTTATGAGTACGGTTAATAACTGAGCCAGTCTTAATGTTGTTTGAAAAGGCATTTCCAAGATCTTGCCATTTAATAGAATTATTCTGTTGATTTAAATCACCACCCGCAACTTGACCACTCAATAACAAAAATTGTTCACTATACCAATGCAAAAGGGTAATCTGTGTTTTAACACTGCGCTTTACATACACACTCGTCTGAGGATCTGATAAAATAGTATTAAAATAGTGATTGACACAAGTATAAACGAAAACACGTAAGTCTTGTACACTATTTTTACATACCTTGTTAATATTTATAACAGCAAAAGAATATTTTTATATATGAAAATATATAAATAGTCACACTCATATAATTCACTGATTTGTAATGATATATTTTAATTGATGTTCAATATGCTTATTGACTGTAAATCACAAATTATAAATAGCACTTTACGCGCAGGCGCTAGAAAAAAAAATGGCGGAGTCACCGTGGGCATAATTCAAATTTCATTTGAGTATAATTTAATTTACACGAAACTATTTCTCACATTATACCCCGTGAAGTTTTACGCGATATAACCAGAAGACTTAGTCGGTTAAATCGGAAACTTCACGGAGTACGGCTTAAAACTCATTGAGTATTGTGATGCACCCAGTGCATCCAACAGGTGACGCTACCTGTTATTAGAGCACTATCTATTATGAGAGCGCGAATTCAAACGAAATATTCAAACTAGTAAATATTAAATGATTAAAATTAGTTAATATTCCAGTCCTTTATTTAATGCTTTTACTCTTACCAGTTGTAAAATAAACATCTTTTAGTTAACTCTGTTTTATTTACAAAAGAAAATAAAATAAAATAAAAAAAAAACATATTTCGGTACAAAGGTACATTGTAACCGAATTTTCAAAACCCATAAAAAGTACTTGAGTAATTCAAGGACTTTCTCGCAAGATGAAACTTAAAACCCTATGAGGAAAAGTCGTAAAAGACACGTGTGAAATTCAATAGACCCTTGTTCTAAAGTAACAAAGAATAATAAAAAAAAAACATATGTAACTAAACAAAAATAATATTGTTAAATAACATTTACTGTTAAAATCTAACTTTATATAATATTGTAGTTAAGCAAAATTGAGTTAAAATAATTAATAATTAGTATCTTATATTTAATTTATAACTAATAATTATTAGTTAACTAATTTACTATTAAATCATTATCTAATTATTATTTAATTTATAATTAAATAATAATATCTATTCTTTTATACAGGATAATAATTAAACTGACTTATAATTTTATTAGAAAACTCGAATGTAAAATGATAGAAATAATATTTAATCCAAATTATTAATTATTCAAACTCAAACATTAGTCCAACATATTATAAATAATATAATATATATAGTTTCATGTTATAGTTTATTATAATTTTATTGTAACTTAATTTCAAGTTAATTATAAGTTAATTTTATTATAAATAGATTTTAAAAAGGGTTTGTTAAATTAATAAGAATAGTTGAATAAACATAATGACTGTATTGCTAAAAGTATATATAAGTGAAGTCCAACTTTCAGGCCGATAGGCTGAAGTAAATATATATAGATATAGAGAAAATACATGTTAGTGTATAAGGATCATTATACATTATTCCTTAGAGTGGATGTATGTGTGGAAGTTATGGTGGGAGAAGAACGGAGTTTGAAGATCTTCGGAAAAACTATGTAACGACACTTCTCATCGAGAGATTAGATTGCTAAGATCACGTCATTGTAAACCTCAATTTTATATTTTCAAGCTTTTAATATCTTGTCAACTTGAATAATAAATTAAAAAGAACTAAATAATTTTGATCAAAATTAAACTACGTCTAAATAGAATTCTTTTATTTAAAATTATTCCTTTCCCGCACTGAAACCGAGTATTTTAATACTCCCGGGCGAAAGAACTACAGTAAGTAAAGTTTTAAATAAATAAAAATAACATCCACTAGATGAAAGCATAACAGTATTATACGTATAGTATTTTACGTGCCCACCCCTGATCAGCCTGATCAGTAGTGACGCTTAGGTGTGACATTAGTAAATGGGCGTGTTCGACCAACAAAAATTTCTAATTTTGTACTTAATTTAGTAAGTTATTAAAGTTGTAAGTGTACGCATGTGTACTAACTCACAGTTACAACTTAGGTGAACCGAATGCATCCATTGCCGACGAATTAACAAATGTACTTAGTATACATAAAAGATTAGTATACATCAAAAACGGGACTTGGCGCCAAACTTTACCGGGTCTGTGGATTGGTGACGTTGCAATAAATTTAACATAACCTAACTATTCACATAATGAATAAAATTAGTAAATTATTTTTTTTTTTAAAGTTTATTTATTATTAACAAGATATTGATTGATTGTAATAATTTACAACTTTAATATCTTCAATAGACGAATGTATACATGTCTGAATATACGTTTATATTTATATTTCTGTATATTTTTATATTTATTAATGTTTAATTAGAAAATAACATTACATATATCTGAAGACAGAAATATACATGTATATACGTAAGTATATATATTTATATATTTGTACTGAATAGCAATATGACTGTGAATATACAGTTATTTCTTGTATGTAATTTAGGATTTTTTTTTATTCTATTGTAAAAAAATTTCTACTGTAGAAAAGATATTAGAAGTCTGCTGTTTGAGAAAGAAAGAAATGAATACATAAACTGTCTGCAGTGCGGCTGATAAACTATAAAAAGTCTGCTTTGCAACTAAGAAATAGATAGATTAAAAGTCTGCTGTGCGGCTAACAGATGAATATTTTAGCAGTCTGAGGTACGACAAAAAAATAAAGATATTTACAGTATGCTGTGCAGCTAAAGAACTATTAAGTCAGTTTTAAGACTAGAAAATAAAAATACTTAATCTTCTGTGCGGCTAATAAACTATTAAAACTCTGCTTTACGACTAGAAATAATAAAAATTGACAAGTCTGCTATGCGACTGAGCAATAAAAAAATTAACAGTCTGCTGTGCAGCTGAATAAATATAAAAAGTCTGCTGTGTGACCAAGACATAAATAAATTCATAAACTGCAGAGAAAATAATAAATTATTGAATGTCTACTTTGCAAAAAAAAAGATATTAACAGTCTACTGTGCGGCTGATGAACTATTCAATGTCTGCTTTGCGACAAACGAAAATTGACAAGTCTGCTGAGAAACTAATAATTAATACAATAAGAATCTGCTGTGAGGCTGATAAACTATTAAATGTCTATTTTGTGACAAAAAAAAATTTAGAAGGCTGCTGCGCGACTAAAATTAAATAAATTTACAGTCTGCTGTGCGGCTGAAAAATTATTAAATGCCTGCTTTGCGACAAAAAAAAAAATTGAGAGTCTGCTGTGCGATTCAGAATAGATAAATCTACAGTCTGCTGTGCGGCTGAAAAATTATTAAATGCCTGCTTTGCGACAAAAAAAAAAATTGAGAGTCTGCTGTGCGATTCAGAATAGATAAATCTACAGTCTGCTGTGCGGCTGAAAAATTATTAAATGCCTGCTTTGCGACAAAAAAAAAAATTGAGAGTCTGCTGTGCGATTCAGAATAGATAAATCTACAGTCTGCTGTGCGGCTGAAAAATTATTAAATGCCTGCTTTGCGACAAAAAAAAAAATTGAGAGTCTGCTGTGCGATTCAGAATAGATAAATCTACAGTCTGCTGTGCGGCTGAAAAATTATTAAATGCCTGCTTTGCGACAAAAAAAAAAATTGAGAGTCTGCTGTGCGATTCAGAATAGATAAATCTACAGTCTGCTGTGCGGCTGAAAAATTATTAAATGCCTGCTTTGCGACAAAAAAAAAAATTGAGAGTCTGCTGTGCGATTCAGAATAGATAAATCTACAGTCTGCTGTGCGGCTGAAAAATTATTAAATGCCTGCTTTGCGACAAAAAAAAAAATTGAGAGTCTGCTGTGCGATTCAGAATAGATAAATCTACAGTCTGCTGTGCGGCTGAAAAATTATTGAATATCTGATTTGCAACAAAAAAAAAAAAATTAAGAGTCTGCTATGCTGCTGAAAAATTATTAAATGTCTGCTTTGCGACAAAAAAAAAAAATAATAGTCTGCTGTGCGATTCAAAATAAATTATTGAATGTCGGCTTTGCGACAGAAAAAAATTTAAGAGTCTGCTGTGCGATTCAAAATAAACAATTCTACAGTCTGC